CACTTTTGCCCTTTGAAGCCTCTTTGGTTTGCTTTAAATTATGCCTTCACATTTCACATTAAATCCATCTATGCCACAATTTAATTAAATAATCAATTTATCATGATATGACATTTATTTAATTGGACTAAGGTAAAAATATTTAATTCAACTTAGGTAATAACATGAGTAAGGGAATATGAATGCAAAAGACTCACAAAATAGAAGTGTAGACATACACACACTTAAACTAAATCTTAAGGCTAAGTGAAAACCTCATAGAGAGACAACCTTAAAGTATATCTTTTCTTAGCAACTCTCAACTTAAGATGAATCACTAAAACTAATTTGATCAATTATCTTAGTCAATTAAAAGACATAATTTCAATGCATAACCTCATTTGTGAAAAAGTACATTTTATGGTCAAAATACCTTAGTGCATGTAAATCAACATTTAGTTAATTTTGCACTAAAAACGCAATATAAATGAATATGAAGACTATTTGGGCATGTAAAATGATCCTTTTAAGCTAATAAATATGTGTGAACAATAAGTCTTATCACCTAGGATCTTAAATTATTTAGTATAATATTTTTATCCTAAAATAATTAAAGCGTAGTTTTTTCTACCTTAAATGTTAAACAATAAACATTGACCATTAATATAAGATAAATTAATTTGACTATCTAATAGATGTTTGTGATTGTTTAACTTTAGGGTGGAGACAGTTACATTTTAATTACTTTATGGAAGAAAATGTTATACTAAATCATTTAAGATATTGGGTGTTGCTTGGAAAAATTTTTAAAACAAAAATGCATATTAACCTTCTAATTAATTTAATATTTGTATGGGAATGAGAGATCAATAGAATGTGAGAAAAAGTATTATATGTGAAGACATAGGGTAAAGATGCAAACTTGGTTCTCAACTATTTTTTCAAGAGTACTGGGCAGTCTCTGCTATAAGGTGGTGCAAAATAAATTATCAACTTTAAAAAACAGAGCATCTAATAATTTTTATTAATTTTAACTTAATGGACATTAACTTTTCATGTGGGGCCAGCAAATTTTTAATTGAAATAACATGTAGCACTTTACCTCAGCAAATAAAGATGTAAATCTACCTATGAATTATTTTTTGAAGAGCATTAGGTAGCCTATACTATAAAAAATACCATCAAGCACATTCTCATCAATTTGACAAAATGCTGTTTACTTTTGGACTTATGTGACCCATAAAACATCAATTTCTTCAATCTTTTTACCTTCGTTCTCAGTCTCAGCTCGAGAAGAAGAAGCTCAAAAAGTTTTTATATATAAAGACATTCAGGAGGACGACACCAATAAAGTAAAAGAAAAAGAGGAAGAAGACAAGGCTTTTAAAATTTTATGGCAATTCAAGTAAAGTACCAATTTGTATTATGATGCTACTACGTGTGGGAGAAGCTTAATTTTGACTTGCCACAGAGATTTAAAGGAAACCTTATTTTCTTTCTCTTCTTCTTCTATTTTGTTGGCATTGTCCTCAGATAAGAACTGTTTGAATCTCTCCTTCTCAAGCTAATATTAAGAACAAAGAAGGTAAAAAAATTGAATAAATTGACACGTTATAGGTCTCATAAGTCTAAAAATAATCAGCATTTAGTCAAAAGTGATGAGAAGGTACTGGATAGTTCATTTTTTTTATAGTAAAGGCTACTCGGTGCTCATTGAAAAATAGTTTATGATTAGATTTGCACATTTATTTACTAAGATGGAGTATTACGTGTCATTTCAGTAGAAAATTTATGGCCCCACATAGGAAGTTAGCATTCGCCAAATAAAATGGAGGCTGTTGAATGCTCCATTTTTAAAAGTTGAGAATTTATTTTGTACCACCTTATAGTATAGGCTATCCATTGCTTTTGAAAAAATGATTGAGGGCCAAATTTGTACTTTTACCCTAAAACATAAGCATATAATAATCAGAATAATAGAGACAAAAATTATAAGCCAAACAGATGGAGATAAAATAAATTCACTTCAGTTTAAGTAATGAAGTTAAAGCCGGCATATTGTTCCTTATGGTGAGTTGGAGAGTCGTGCTTTCATCTCATGTGGTGACGTGGAGGATATATATAGAGAGAGAGAGTGTGTGTGTTAAAATAAGCAATAAAATTAAATCAAAGTATAAAAAATATAGAGATAAATTGATATATACATTTATATGGTAAAAAAATTAAATTGTATATAAAAATAAGAGAAAATAAAATGTTAAGTCCCTCAACTTATCTCAATTATTAATTTGGTCCCTCAAATTTATTTAAGCTGTTGATTTAGTTTTTATTGTTTAAACAAAAAGTAACATTGTTAAAATTTGCTAACATAGATAATGTTATATTGATGGCAACAATGCAAATTAGTAAAAAGAAATGTAATTATTTTGAAAGGGAAAAAAACTTGAAAATTTTAATAAACAAAAGAATATAATACAACACAAGAGACTAGATTAAAAAAAATTTAAATAGTTTGAAGGCTAATTTTTTTTTTTTTTTTCATTTAACTACATGTACATGCCAAAATGCTTTTCATGTTTGATTAATTTGAGAGTAAATTTAAGGGACTAACACAATAATTTAATAAAATATAAGGAATCAAATTGATAAAAATAAACTTGAAAGACCAAATTGACAAATGAGACAAGCTTAAGAGATTAAAAAATTTATCATAGCTAAAAATAATCGGAAACCTTATAGTTGAATATATAATTTTTCTGCCATTAAAACAACATTATATATATATATATATATATAAAATTTATTTAAGACCTCTTGACCATATTTAATAAAAAAGAAAATCCTTTAGACTCTGAAAATTTACTTCAAATGAGGGGTACGAAATTAAAATGCAGATTTAGAAATTATGTACTTCATGAGGAAATTTGGCACCTTCAAATTGTTTATACATGTTGTCATTCCAATAATTTGGCTACAATGGGTGAGTTAGAGAAGTTTGCATTTTTATCATGGATATCTAATTTATTTTTAACTATTTTGTATACTTTTTTTTTTTTTGCTTTTGCTATTATAACTAGGAAGCTGATAGGAATTTGGAAACTGAATTTATTGCCATGGTCTGATGGGAGATGCAGAACATACGTGTAGAATCCATCGAAAGGAGTTGATTTTGAGAATCACACACACGCAAAATAGGTTTAGAGATGTCTCTTGTGATGGGAAGCACCCCAGTAACCTGAAGTTAGCAGTCTTGATTAGCAATTTCAACAACAAAGGCTAATGTCAATGCAGCCTTCAACTTATGCATTTCATTGCACATGTAGAGAAGTTTGTTTTTCTCACTTCTAGCCATGATTTAAGCTTGATTCTTTCTCTTTTCAAATTATGTAAAGAAATAAGCAACCTCAGTGGAAAATCAGAAAAGATGAGGAATGATAAGGTAATTTTATTCTACATTTTAATTTCACTTCAATGCACATGATCTAAAGTGAATTTTCAGAGCTCAAAGAGCTTTCTTTTTCATTAAATGTGGTTGAGAAGATTTAAATGAAATTTCCCTATATAAAAGAACAACTTGTACCATACATCACACCTGCAACTAATTATACGGTTATAGAACTACAAAGTACTTAAGAATAGTCACATCACAACAGATGTAAGCATCAAGCAACCCAAACCAAATCCTACTTGGCCAAAGAAATCAAACCTTGTAGGAAGGGGAAGCTACAAGGTAATTCTGTGAAAGATGGTTTTAAATTGCTCACTCGTAGGTCTACTGACACTAGAACCTGACTTGGTCATCACCGGAAAGATTTTTGGAAGCTTCAACTTACATACAAAAATCTTTTTTTCATTTGGAAGTTAATCCGTGGCTCAATACCTACGAGTGATATCCTAGCTCACCACCACTTGACCACTAGAATCTCGTGTCCTTTTGGGTGCCGGGAAGAAGAATCATTAGATCATTCATTCTTCAGTCTTGGCATCGTTCGACCAGCTTAGCCATCATCTGCTACAAGAAGCTCCCACTTCCCCGACCGCCACAAGTCCATCTTCTTCGCAGATATTACTTTCCCTGACCTCCCCACGTGATTTGCTCACATGGGATGGTTTCTATTCTTGTCATCTTTTTAGCTTTCGCATGACCCAAAATGCAATTGACAAAAACCCCCAACAAATACTTTCAAGACGTATTAGAAATGGGCGGAGAACGAGTGCCGCTCCCATAAGATCCAATAGCCACCGGCCCACCAATGAGAAGAGTGCGCGCGTGCGCGCGCGTTTTTAATAAATTACTGTGACCTATTAATGAGAAAAGAAGACTCCCAAACGGGAAATAGAAATCCTTCATTTTAAACCCTAAAAAAATAACTATTTAATAGGGCAAATGGAACTATTAAACATTAATGCTCCCACAACCCCCTCATGAGATCATCCAATTATACAATCAAATATACATACATACATATATATATATATATGTTGTCTTGTAATTTTAAAATTATAAAATCACGTTTGTGTATTAGAAAAGAATGTATTAAAAAAATAAAGTAAAAATAAAATGATCAAGAAGATAAATGAACATATTTACTAAAGAGGTAATTTAATTCATAAAGTTAAGAATTATAATTTATAAAATTTTTAAAAAATATGATTATTCTTACATTCATAGTATATATTAATGAATTTTATCATAATTATTATAAAAAAAGTGATTTAATTTATTTTTATTTTTATTTTTTTAATTCATTCTATTTTTTTTAGTAACCAAACAAAATCCTAAAGATTTACTTGCGCCTGGAATATACAATAGAATATTGATTGTGATTTTTGTAAGTGTGAGAATACATTGAATTCAAATTAGAGAGATACATGAGAGATTTGAAAAATATTTACTGAAACCTAATTTATAAATTATGACTGGCACATCAATGATACAACTTATTTTTGTTAAAATCGAAATCATAAAATTTCGCTAAAATGCTGATTTTTGAGTTAACTAAATTTATTGAGTACTTACATTTGATAAATAAAAATTCATATTTAATGACTAGTAAATATATAATTAAATCCAATCTACAAAGATCTAGAATATCTGAACCATCCTACTTTTTCCCAAATAATGATCTAAGCTATACAACAACACAGCTTGGATACACGGTTCATTGTAACAAAATTGATTGAAGAAATCTATGTACCGAACTTTTTCCCAAAAAACTGGTAAAATATAAACAACAGGAAGTGGGAAGAGAGAACTTGTTCAGTGATGTTGTAGCCAGTCCCGAATTGCGGAACGAAGAGCATGGTTCGGGACAAGATTATGGTGTTCAAGCCTCGCATTTGTCATGGGTGACGTGGAGTGACCACTATCGAACCATCCTCGTATAGCCTCACCTTCATAAGAAAAACCATCTGCTGCGATATGCGGATCTAGCATCACTTCCTGTAAGGTTTAACCATGGCAAGCAATTTCATGTTATTGTTAGCTTTTATTTTTCTCTATCCAAAAGAACCAAACTCAGGATGATTGAAAGACGTGTTATCAAAGTGAAGGATGAAAATGGACCCCAGAAGGAAGGGTTACCTGAAAGATTGGACAAATAAAATATGAAGGAGGCTGGTCAGACCCTTCATAACCTGGCTTGAAGGAGTATGTGCCTCCAGAAAAAGCACTCATCGCTTCCAGTATTTTCCAGACATCTGACCTGAGATCTGGCCGATTTTTCCGGCTCAACTCACAACACCTCAGAGCCACACGAGCCAACTGTTCAGCCTGCACAAATGGCCAGTCTCCGGCCAAAGAATCCAAGAGGGATTGAAACTTTCCAGAATCTAATGCGTACTGCACTTCCTTTGTTATTCCCAAGGCTGGTCTCCCAGTCAACAATCTTAATAATATGATGCCAAATGAATAAACATCTGATTTCAGAGTGAGTTCCCCGGAAGCGAGAAATTCGGGATCCATGTAGACTAGAGTGCCCTTTGGAATAGTTCTCCAACAATCTGTAGTATCATCACCTGAACTCTCAATATTGGGTAATATGCGGCAAATTCCAAAGTCACCGAGCTTGCTAACAAAGTTTGCATCAAGTAGAACATTTGAGGGTTTCAAGTCTCCGTGCACTATGCAGTGAGGCCTAAAGGAATGAAGGAAGATGAGAGCAGAGCAGAGCTCAGCAGCAATGCGGATTCGAGCTTGCCATGATAGAGGAGCCGTGTTATCCTTGCAGTTGAGCCGGTCTTCGAGGCTTCCATTTGGGAGGTACTCGTAGACAAGAGTCCAGGATTCTGGGCATGCTCCTATGAGTGTAATAAGGTTCGGATGTCTTAACTTACTCAACACATCAACCTGATACAGAACCAAAGTCAGGATCAACTTGGATACCCTTCTCTCACAACAAATATGGATTTATCATCTGTAAACGCCAGTAATTTTTGCATTCTAGAATGGTAAAGTACAGGGTCATCTCAATGTTGGACACCAAAACAAGCAAAAGATGGTTTCAAAAGGGTCAAGAAAGATTCACCATACCTCCTGTTGAAACTCTGCGGGACCCTGTGAGGAGTTGTTTGCGTGCAGCATTTTTATGGCCACTTCGGTGTGACGCAAGACACCTTTATAGATATTTCCATATCCACCCTCTCCAATCTTTAGGGATGAATTGAAGTTCCTCGTTGCTTGTTCAATCTCTTGAAAAGAGAACTCTGAAAACAACTCAGGCCCATGTGTGCTTGAAACGTCTTCTTTTATTTTCCTCAACTCCTCGGCTTCTTTTAATGCATCATTGCGCTGCATCTGTAACTCATCTCTTTCTTTCTTGCATATTGTCAACAGATCCACAACAGATATAATCTTTTGTTTTAACTCCCTTACCATGAATTCAGATGATTCAATTTGACTCCCCAAACACATCTTTTGATCTAGGGCAAGTCTAAGTTCTTCCTTAACTTTGTCTCTCAGGCTCTTCATCCCTTCAAGTTCTTCTCTTTCTTTTGCTAGTGCTTCCTCAATTTGTTTCCTTTGTTTGAGTACCTCTTTGTACAAGCTTTCAGAGGCTTTAGCCTGTCAAATGATTGGTATAACCAAAAGAGTATATCAAAATTTCATTCAGGTATTTACATGAACTGGAAAGCAACACAAATTGATGCCAATCCATTAAAATGATCTCCATCATTCGAGTCTTTTCGGGCTGATATTGTTGTTTTAAATGCATTAACAAATGCAAAACCTTATTTTAATTTTGGCTGGCTCAAAAATGCGCCTCCACTTGGGGGAATGCTAAACTTGAGAACAAAAGAAAAGTGCAGAGACATAGAACCGCTAACTATACACATCACAGGAGTAACATGAAGCAATGAGCAAAGGCAAAACACACACACACCCTGCGCATAGCATCAACTGCTTCTTTTTCAGCCTTCCCACGCTTAAGTGTTTCTCGAAAGGCATCCCGCCTTGCACTCTCAGCTTCAGACATGGCCTGTTCAAGCTGATAGTAGAGAGTATCATCCATTCCTCCATTCTGTCAATTTTCAACCAAATAAGTTAAATTAAATGCTAAAATGTATAAAATCTCCCCGAATTTCAAAACAATTGCATATGACCTCCTTCACTTTTAAATATTTAAAATTAGCCCTCCTCTCCATTAATTTTATTTTTCAAAGCCCCTTACTGTTAATTATATTATTTTTTTCACAAGAATTAAAATGTCATTTAACCAAAAAAAATGTTATTAAACAAAATATTATATAGGAAAATTATGGATAGTTAAAGCATTGATAGCCAAAAAAATGTTATTATTATTATTATTATATAAAATTTTAAATATATACTTTTGTATCAGTTTTATCCATTTTTTTTGTTATCAATAGTACATAGTTCTTTCATATTAAAAGATAAATTAGTCTAACATGGTAATATTTAAAATTTTAAATATTTTAGTTATGTGCATTATGTTAATCTAACCTGAAAATATAAATAAAAATTTATGCTTCAAAACAATAAACTATGCACCATTGATAACCAAAAAAAAAAAAAGAATAAAACTAATATAAACGTAAATATTTAAAATTTTATAGTAATAATAATAATATTTTTTTGGCTATCACTGTTTCAACTATTTAAAAAATATAAGAAATTAATTATAAATAGTTCTAAAATATAATATTTTTGTTTAATAACATTTTTTTAGTTAAATGACATTTTAACCTTTATGAAAAAATAATATAATTAACAGTAGGAGTTTTGAAAAACAAATTAAAAGCTAAGAGGATTAATTTTAAACTTTTAAAAATGAGATGCATAGTTCAAAAAGGTTTTATGTATTTTAACCTAAATTAAAATACTATAACAAGACACCGACTGTTTAACTAATACATTGAAACAATGCACATCTTCTACCACAAACAAATATTGACAGGAAAGAAGTTACGCTTGAAATTAGGAGTAGCAGTACGCTAGGAGGAGATGAACGACAGAGGCTTGCTATAGCTGGAGAAAATTCACTTGAGTCTATCACATTCTCACTCCCCTCAGAAATCAATTTTGGAGTCAATGCCACTTCAGCAGTTCCACTTTCAGAACATGTTGAGAAAACTGAAGGACTCTTTCTTAACAGCCCGTCTGACCCATCACTACTAACTTCTGCACTCAATCTGTTACTTGGACTGGAAAACCCTTCAGTGTCTGGAGAAGAAAAGATCACTGTTTTGCGTTCTTGCCCAGCAATAGCAGACCTTGCTCTGCGAAGTAACTCAAGCTTTTCATTGATGAGTCTTGCCCGATCATTCTGCCCCAACGTAATAGATTGGGATCTCAGGTGAAGTGAATGCACAGGGCTTGGCCTATGCTGCGGCAAAGGTGATGCAGCCTCTTCATTACCATCACCCAAACAGCGATTTCTATGTTGATACAATACTTGATTCAGTATTCAAAATAATAGCAAGCAAGTAAAATGACAAACATGACCATATGAAATTATAAAAGCTTTCTGAAATATTAAAGTATTGAGCTTTGTATTCTTATGCAGCTAAAAAGTTTCTTATTTAAATTGAAATCTGCTTGTCATCCAACATCAGATTTCATTAGTGTTTAAAATGCAACAAACCTATTGTGTATAAGGCGCCCTTTGCAGACAAACCGTATTTGACAATAAGCTGGAGCATGTTCCCGCACATAAATGGCTTTCTTAGATTTGAGGTCCATCATTTTCCTGCAATGTCAGAATTATAAAGATCGGTGATAACATTTTATTAAACTTAAACAATACCAGTAAAGAAAAAGGGATCTCTATCTCAGCAACCTTTGACAGATTTACTGTCACATTTCTCCGACACATCATGAGAAACGAACATGCTCTCTCCGATACAATATGATATCATCAGTGGCTTTTCCAGCTACAATCTAACAAGATTACAGTGCTGTGGACAGTGTTTCATGTCTGTTTTCCTACCTAGAATGACGATTATCAGATGCTGCTCCCATGACAAGCTCACGGATGCCATGCTGAAAGGCAAGCTCTACAATACCTTTCTCAGCGCATTCCATTTCAATATGCAACTTCTCTGCCCGGGCCTGCATCAGAATGTTGTCAGTGGAGAGTGAATAAGTTTCAACATTAGTAATCATGGACAGAAAGTCAAAGTCATGTACCCCCATTCGTGAAGAGAAGAGAATATATTCATTTATACTCTTATGCATGTTTTGCCTTTCAAGTTCCCTATATGCTTCAACTTCGTCTTCTTTCAGTGAACTGGCCGGAAATTTAGTACCCACTACAAAACAGAATATCAATTGTAAAGGCCAATTCTAGAGACTGAAAATTGTATGGTCAAGAGATATAGCAAGGCGATAAGCTTATTCAATAACTTCCTTACTTGTCAATTGCTCAATAAATAAACCGTACATCAAATAATTAATTATTTATCTGACAGCAAAACCAAGAAACATTATAAATAGCAGTCCAATAAATCTTTGAACGTTAAATTTTAAATGTATTCAAACATTTGGAATTCATAGCTATTTTTCTGAAATTAACCTCAGTATCTATTGGGCATTACATTGTTAATTTCTAAAATAGTGGTCATCAAGGCAATATCTTGAACATTGCCTTTGAAATCTGCAGAATTATGAACACATCAAACAAGTCCGTGTATGTACACAAGTACTGAACATGAGTCTATTGCAAACTTACTCAAGGGGATCATAGTTGCAGGCACATGAACATGGAGGATGCAAATCTTGTTTCCTCCAGAGTTTTGTATCGCCCATGTCAGATTTGACTTGCTCTCTTTCAAATCTTTTGTCACAGCAACGTAGATAGTGTCATTAACCACACCTGTTTCAGGCTCCTCTACAATTTCTCCCATCCCAGCCATGTTGCTGGTGACCCCAAAATCTTGAGGCAACCTCACAGAACCGAAACTTCGTGGGATTGCAGGCACAGGACTCACCACAGCCATGCTAAGAAATCTTAAAGACTCGCTCTTCCATTAAACAGCATCACCTTCAATTCAGAATAAACTTATTAAGAAACTCACTGACCTCCTTTAGCCCCAAAACAAGAACATTCTACTTTCTGGCTCAACCAACATTATCAAACAGTGCTTATTCTGTCCGTCATAATAAGAAACTTTAACCATCAAAACCCCAGGAATCTGTCTCTAAAACAATGAAAATCCCAAATAAACACTTTTTCTCTCGCTTCCATAATGGAAATCCTCCTTAACAGCTAAAAGTGCCCGACAAAAGCAAAACAACAAAACCAAACCCGGTTGTCTCTCTCTCTCTCTCTCTAGATTTTCCCAAACCAACAAAAGTATAGCTGGCTTTCTGTCTCTAATTTTTTCTATAAACTGAATCGACCCCTAAATCTCTCATCTTACTACAAAGGAAACATCATTTTCCATCATGGAAAATCGCATGAAACTGAAGAATCAGAGGAAACCCCTTTTACCGGGGGGCGTGAGTGGGAGACTGAATAAGCTTCAGCTTTGTTTTACAGGTAAAATCACCCAGACTGAAAAGAGCATGTTTATCTTGAGCTCAAATCATTCGAGTGTATAAGCAAAAGAGACCCAAATTATGAAGATATAATTGCATTAGTTTGAAATGTAAATTTCATAAACAATTCCCGTGGGGTCTTCCCCCATCTCAACCTTAAAACAACTCATTCGTCTCCTCTCCTGTGGGTTTCTTCTTCATTTCCATTTTGCTCCCTCAAATTAAATTTCTTCAGAACGAAACTTCCCAGAAGGCGAGTGGACCCTACTGCATCAAATGCACATGACATAAAAGAAGCCAGAAGAAGCTGCCAAAAGGGACTGGACTTCGATGTAAGATTTTTCTCTCTGTCGTTTAGATTTAGCCATGCTTGTTTTCTTTTGGGAGATTAGAACCTTCATTATTCTCATCAACATATAGGTAAGATTTGACATTGATCAGGCGATCAATATGCTAATATAATAGTATTTGATAATAATACACAAGGAGTTTCAAAAAAGTAAGGCGTTCCTAAGTAATATCGATTTCTAGTACATTTATTAACTTTTTTTTAAAACCAGTACTCCCCCTTACAAATTTAACACACTTTTAATTGAATATCACCTCTTAAAAAAATAATTACTTATATTAAAATTAATTTATTTTTTTATATTTATTTATATTAAATAATTTATAATAAATATAAAGTCATTTATTAATAAAAATATTTTAAAAAAAGATAATGATTATACTTTAAAAAACTAAAAATATCTTACATTTTTAAATATTTAACTCTTAAAAAATACTTTACATTTTTAAACGAAGGAAATATTATCTTTTCATATTGATTCTTATTTAATAAAATATTTTATTTAAAAATAAATATAAAATAATTTATTTATTATGAATAATTTTAAAAACACATAATTATCAACTCCTAAAATTTCATCAAATTTTAATTTTAATTTTTATAATTTTTTAATGTTTTCAATTTTTTTAATTTCAAAAACATTAGGTAATATTTATTTTTATAATCCTATAATTTCATTTTTCTTAGTGCTTTTAACCTTTATATAATGACTGAAAATGTTAAAAAAAATTATGAAACTTAAAATAAAATTTAATAAAATTATAAAGATCAAAAATAATTTTTTAAAACATATTAATTATATTTTAAAATATTAAAAATATTTTAATTTTTAACGTTCAACTTTTAAAAATTATATTTTTAAACGAAAGAGTAATAGTTTTAAAAATCAACTTCAAAATATAGTGTTGAAATATGATATAAATAATTAATAAAGATTAATTTAATTGATAAAATTTTTATTCATAACCCATACAATTATAAATTCAAATTTTAATACTGTAATGAGAACTTCATAAATAAATAATTTATAAGCATTTCTTTAAATTTGGAGATATGAGAATTCATCCAAATTTTTTGTTATCCAAAAAAAATGCGATAATATGATCGAGATAATGTGGCGGCCAAATAAGAATATGCGCATATTCCTCGTTCCTCGCCCCACGTCATCGCACAAAGCGTCATCAATGTCGATACACACGCGTCTTATTGCCGCGTGCAAACTAGAACGCATCTTGATTGACATATGAATCTGCATCGTCCACTAATTTCAAGGCTCCGGTTCTCATAAATCAGACGGTTTAATATTTATATATATATATATATATATATATGATATGTATAACATAGGAGAACGATACAATAAATATTGTTAGCAAGGGAGGTTATTGCACCCATTTTACCGAGATAATAAAAATTGAATCGAACGTTAAATCAGTCAAGCCAACAAGTAGATTAATAGTTGAACTAGTTAATCCAAAAGGTAAACTAATTATGACTGAAATGATATAATTTAAATAAAAAATATTAATTATGAAAATATTTAATTAAATATAACATTAATCTCTAATATAAAATACAAATGTAATAATAATTATAAAATTACAATTACCTAAATGTCTAACAATAATAAAATATAATTTTTTAATTAATCATTTCTATATTTATAATTTACAACCCTTCAATCAATAAAAAAAATTAAATTAATAATCACCAACACTAAAATCACCAACAATTATAATTATAATTCATAAATGCTAAACAACAATCAAACAAATGAATATCAACAAATAATAGAAGATTAAAATAATTAAGGCATGATTAACGAAGAAGAATATTGAATCTTTTAACTTTGAACTTACAATTAAAGTCCTTTGTTTGAAATTCAAACTACAGATAATGAAATCTGATTTAATTGCCTCACCTTTTGTTGCCTCACTTTTTAAATTTTCAAGCTAATTTTTTATTTTTTTAATTTTTATAATTTAAAAAAATAAAAACCTAAAAAATGGTAACCCAACTGACCCAGCCAACCAATCATTCTTGGGTTGACCTTGGATTAGGTGAAATCGAACTGACAAAGAGGTTGATTCAGTCGTCGAACCAACTAGTTTGGTTGGTTTTTTATTTCATATATTTTACAAAATACTATAAGAGCATGATTTATTGAAAGAATATTAATGAGACACTCTTAAAATAATTTAATATTTAAAAGAACTTGAATGGATGAGATACTTATTAAAACAATATACTTGTTAATGATTAATGTTTAATTGTTTAAAGTTTTTATTAGACATTAAATTCTTTCAATTGTGCTTCGATAATATTCTCCCTAATTTATAAGAGCCACAAAAAAAAAAACTATCAAGAACACTTTTAATTTGTTAATTGAGTATTTAGATTTTTTTAAAAAAATATTATTTATATTTTTAATTAATTTTAACATATAACAAAAATATTTAAATATATTTTCATAAAATTATAGTTTTAATTTCTAAAATTTACTGTAGAGATCATCCAAACATAAACAAATCCCCCAAAATACACACTCCGTGTGTGTGGAGAACATAGACGAAAAGTATAGAATGACAGTGTGGATATTTTATGACGTCCGCCGTCAAACCAGACAAAGGTTTTTAAAAACAATATTTAAAAAAGAGCTTTTTAAAAAAAATCCAGAAGGGATAAACATATTTTATGTGTATATCTTGTATTGTGCTTGCGTTGTAGAGGAAAATAAAAAGAAAAAAATGAGAAAAGAAAAAAAATGAAAAGAAAAAAAAAATATAATTTTTTGTTATTATATTTGGTTGAGCGAGAAAATTGAGAGGGGAGGAAAGTTATCAATTTTATATAAATAATAATAAATTGATTGTTTATAAAAAATATTTATATAATAAAATTTAATATTTTACCATATTATATATAAATAATTTTTATTATATATTATAGAATAAACAAAAACATAATTAAAAATTATTTTATCTAATATTGACAAAAAATTTATCCAATTTAAAATTTTTTTTATTAAATTATTTAATATGTAATAATTTAAAATTTGAAACAATATAAGGTACTTAATTAAAAACTAACATGAAACTTAGAATTTGCATTTGTTTAATTAGTCAAAAAATTAAATATACTATTTGTTTAATAAAAAATTATAATCAAATTGTAACTACACTATAAATATCATGATAAAAATAAATGAAAGTAAGAGACGACAATAAAAGAATTGATGGGTAAACTTGAAAATGAAACTTTCTTTCAAAAATTTTCCCATATTTAGAAAAAGAAATTAGAAATAAAAACATATGGGTCTCATGCATTATTTTCATTTCACTTTTTTCTCACCTCCATTTTTCTCTTCATATCCAAATAGAAAAAAATGTTATTTTCTCTTATGTTTCTCTTTCCCTCAAGATGGAGCTAGAGGGGAGCTGAGATGCTGGATTGATTAAAAAAATTTATTTTTGGCTTTATAAAAAATAATTTTTCGGAGTTCAGTAACACTTAACTATTCATAAAAATTTTAAATCCTCTAACTTAAACAAGGAATGCATGCCAGATTATTCATTTTTATCTATTCACTTAAGGTGACTTAATTAAAACCTGTAAGATTTTAATTATAAGCATGTACTTTTAATTATAAGTTTTCTCCTGGAAAATTTCAAATTAAATTACACAAAATTCTTTACAGTTTTTTTTATTACTCACATGTATTATATTATATTTAAGACAAGTTGGATATTAAATAAAGAAACCCCTTCCAATAAAAATTCTTTGTAGTTTTGAGTTATGGCTTTATACTTGTTTTAGTCTTTAAAACTCAATGAAGAATCTTCATAAACGTTGAAAAATTGTGCAGACATTAGGCAACACGGCGCCGACAATTAGTCTACATCTTAACAAAGTTTGAGACGTCAATAAATATTCCTTCTAAGATTTATTCCCATGGAAAGAATTCTTTCATATTTTGAATAATGTACATATAATTCTGATAAATTTTAACCTTGAATATTTTGTCAGTGAAGTGACAAATTAGTCGATAGTAGGAGAATTATTTAAAATTTAATATTTTCAAAAATATATATTTTAAAATTTTAAAACAAGTCAAATTTTTTATATATTCATTCTCCTAACTTTACATAAAATTTTAATTTTATTCATTAATTTCATAAAATATTTTTTTACTCCTCTAACTTTAGTGCCATTCATCTTATATGATAATTTTTTTGTTTTGATTATTGTTATTAAAAAAAATCAATATGCTAATATTTTGACAATATTTTGTCAGAATTTAAAAATTTATTGTTGGCATTTTTAACTAATGAAATTAATAATGTTAGAAATATAAACGAGTTATTTTTCACATGATAATGTATGAACACGAGTATGAAATGAGTTATTGAAAAGAAAAAAAAGTAGATATAGTGATTGGATTAAAGTTTTTATATAGAAATTAAATTTTAAATTTAAATATAAATATATAGTAAACAACATGGTAAAATAACTAAGAGAGTGAAAAGATACCAGTAAGATCAAACATGATTGATTGACGGGCAATTAGATCCTTCAAGCACGTTTTGTTGGTACACGAGTTTTAAAGGAATAAACCTTTTATTCTCGAGCTTCAAATAGTTGACCCTTTCAAGTTTAAATTATTATTTTCTATCCTAAATTAATAGTCTAACCTTAATCATTTTAGGATTTAAAAGAGCTAGCTACTCTACCGTATAATAATAGTAGGCTGGGCCCAATCATATGACCCCGCCCACATTCAGACACCGGACACTGCAAATA